TTCTCTTGTGATCTTGGTTTGTTTTGTTTAGTGCCTGAATCTAGAAGATGGAACTTAACAGCGTGCCACAAATAAACCTATATCTGCCCAACAAGCCAAGGCTGGTGTGAGTTATCTAAATCAAGGGCAACTATCTTCACAATTAGCTTCCTGTGTAATTCACTTGTTCACCAAGGACCCAATGAACAACATCTATGCTATTCTACACCCCTGGAATTTGTTGGTGGCTATGATAGCTTTTGGGTATTTGATACCTTGGGGTGGCTAACAACTCACAATGTCCTAGTGCATTTTGACTGTTCATTCTAAAACTGGGTGGGGAAAATTATCTGGACTTACCTTGACAACATTACAGGGCAGGATGCCCACCTGTCCCTAAGAAAGGGGCAGCCTCAAGTTACATATCAATTCTACCTGACCCAAATTGATAAGTGGGACTCAATATTGAAAGTGACCAGGCCACAAAAGTAGGCTTCACTTAGCAGCCCACCACTGGCACTTAGCAAATCATTTCTTCATTGGTGTTTTAGAGAGAAGTTAAAGGTTGCTAGCTTTTTCTTCTCTTTTCATATCTAATATAAGCATTCTTTAACCTTCAATCTTAATGAAAAGATATCAAGCATCAGAGCATCAATAACAAAGTGCTTTATGTTAATAAATTTAATGATTAAGTGAATATAGCTGAGAAAACCCAGAGCATTGGTCCACTCCTCTGAGTTTGGACCCTACATGAGATTTTGAACCTGTAATACACAATGAAGAAAGTGCTTTGGTGTCTCACAGCTCTGTGCAAGAGCCAAGACGTTCAAATGTGCATGTGTGTTTTTCAGGCCCCTTGCTCTCCCTCCTCGTCCTGACTTTGGCTGCCTCTCACACCATTTTTGGCAAGCTGCGTTCTGGAGAGGCCTGGAGAAGTTTCCACCCAGTCACTCCCTTCGGTTAATTATTAGCAGCTCTGGTAAAAGTTGGTGGGGCCTTTAAAAACAAGTATCTGAAAAGAGATTTTCAGTTTAACCATAGGGTTCATCTGTTAGGAGATTTCGGAAATCCCGTCCTCCAAATGCTGAAATTACATGGACAAAAGTGAAACACAGAACTAAGGAGTGATGTCTAATCCTTTCTCTGGGACTAATTAGCAGAGTCATCCTGGTTAAAAGAGGGAAGATAACTCTCAAGGTGATGCATTAGGAACTCAAACAGGGCTCTCTTATTTAACCCCCAACACAACTTATACCCTACACATTAATAGCTCCATTTTACAGTTAGACTTGAACCCAAAGTGCTGTATCTTGGCATTAAATCCTATAGATTCATGCCATTTAATTCACCCAAATTTTGGAGTCCCTACCTAAGAAAGCAAGAAGGTCGAATTTGTTGCTTTCGAAAAGGTCTTTCTAATTCTATAAGCCCATGTATCAGTTGACCTAGGAGGCAATAAACAATTTCTTTCTTATAATTTTTACAAAGCTTTTTTCTTCTCAGCCTTGTTTTACCAGTAACCTTTGTGAGAAAATAAACAAATTTGTATTCTGCTCATAAAGACGCTAAAATAGCAGTGTAGTCATTAGTTGTCAATAAAACATAACACTTTTTCTGCTGAAGCAATTGCTTCACCCTTGTTTATGTTACTCAGTTTCGTTAGTTTAGAGCCCATTAAAAAGCAGAACTGGGCTGGCTGTTTTACGTTGGTGGTGAACTTTGTGCCTCAACTGTATTGCAACTCCAGAGTTTACTCAACTCCACCTGGCAGTACAGCTCCTTGAGATAAAGCAGGTTGTCTCTGGCGGAAACCAGTAGCAGTTTATCTTTTTGCTCTGCTACAGATATCACAGCTGGCAGGGCATCTAATAGACACTCATTTGCCAGTAGAAAGTAATTTAAAAAAGAAAGAAAGAAACAAAGAGAACATAAAGGGAGTACTACCATATAAGAAAAATTAAAACCAATATCTTTTTTAAGTAGCCTTCATTTGAGAAGCTACATTTTGTGTGTGTCTGTGTCTATCTATCTGCATGTGCATGCATGTGTGTTCCTTTAGACTGTGCAGATGTGTGTGTGGAAAAGGGTTGGGATGCTTTGAGTGAAAAGATCTGAAAAAAAAAAAAAATAGCTGCTGAAGACCCAAAAGAAATTCTTATTTCCTAGACTCTTAAGTACTATCAGGTTTGGATCAATTTGTCATGTTTGAAATGAGGAGTTTCATTTTCTTATTCTTTTCCAAACTATATGTAGTCATATTCTTGGATAAAAATGTAATAAAAATATTTGTATAAGAAAACAATACAGCGTTAAGACATGTGGAAGACAGCAGCCTATGTGCATTGGTGGTTTGATGTTAATGTAAAGCAACAAAAACTTTCATGCTGCAAGCTACATAAATAATCATCCTGAAAACTCCATATTCAAGTATGATACAGAAAAAGACAATGAGATTTTCTAGCTCCAACCCTAGGTCTATGAGCTGAATTGTTTCCCCAATATATGTTGAAGTCTAAATGCCCGGTATCTGTGAGTGACATTGTTTGAATTAGAATCCTTGTATATAATCAAGTTAAAATGAGGTTATTAGAGTAGGTCCTAACCCAACATGCCTATGTCCTTATAAAAAGGGGAAAATTTGGACACAGAGGCAGACATGCACACAGCAAGAATGCCAAAGCCATGTAAACATGAAGGCAGAAATCAGGGTGATGCATCTAAAAGCCAAAGAATGCTAAGAATTGCCAACAAATCCTTAGGCACTGGGAAACCCTCCTCACAGTCCTCAAAAGGAACCAACACAGTTGACACCTTCATCTTGGACACCTAGCCTCTAGATCTGTCTAAGCTAACCACTCTGTCATACTTCCTTATGACATCCCTAGCAAATGAATTAACTTAGGTTTGCTCATGTTCACCTCCTACAAGGATACAACTTTCCTCTTACCGCTTTACCTGCACAGCATCTCCAAAGGAAGAGAAGGAATGTTTGAGGACAGTTGAGTTTCCCCCCATTTTCCTCTCCTCCTTGAATTCTGTCTTTTCTAATTTCCAAAGTGGTATTTATAAGAAACTTTCAACATAACAATAAATGGCTAATTTTACCCAAGGGCCAAATAGAAAGAAAAACAAAGAATAACAATTGATCTGGAAACTTTTTTCTTCCCAAAGGGCTTGAGATGGAAACTTCTGTGACTGGTAATCCAATAGCAATTGAAGAAGATGAGAGCACAATAAGGATTTTCCTCTAAAGTATCCTTCAGTTCAAATCTGATATCAAATAATCTAATATAATTCAATATTTTGTTTGGGATACACATTTGCAGCGCTGTTTATTACTTTTTTAATCCTTACGTGAGGACATGTTTTTATTGATTTTAGAGGAAGAGAAAGGAGGAAAGAGAGAGACAAAGAGAAACATTGATTGGTTGCCTCCCACATGTGCTCCGACTGGGGTTCAAACCCTCAAACTACGTATGTGCCCTGACCAGGAATCGCAGCATTTTGCTGCACAGGATAATGCTCTAACCAACTGAACCACTTGGCCAGGGCTGCAGCACTGTTTTTAAGCAGCTGACTTTGGTCATACATTTGGACGGGTTTGGTTTCCTTATTTTGTTTCTGGAAGAATCTTAAAGAATAGTGAGCGAATCCTGACACTTGGAATTGGATTAGAGTTAGCTACTGCCTCAAGGACGAGCCAAAGGGCTGGTGTTTAGAAGATACATTTTACACTAATTTAGGGAGGAGGGTGTGTTCAAGCAGACAAGAGATGACCAAATGGCAGTGCATGCTGGGAGTTCCTGGCAAGGCGTCAGTCACTAGCAGGGGGTGGTTGAATAAAATGCTTTTGTGTCCAGGTTGCAGGAGGAACAGGAAGTGGCAAGTATATTTGGCAGATTCTTATATAAATTTATGAAAGAGGCATGAGTTTGATTATAAACAAATGACAATTTATTTTTCATGTCTCTGCTCAATTTCCTAAGAGAATTTTCCTATAAAAGTTGAGCCTCTTAAATTACAATTCTAAGTGAATAGGTGGTTTGAATGGGACAACAGAGCTTCAACTTATCCATATCAATAAGCTTTGAAAAGATGGCAGAAATCTAAGAAAATACTTAAACATGAAGTTTTGTTCCTTTCTATCCATGACAAAAATGCCATGGATGATTTCAATAAAAGGTTAGGCTCTTGGTCCATCAATAAAAAAACCAGAGCCACTCAGCTCTTCTAGAAAGAGGGAGCTGCTGCTTTTTGTGATGGAGGTTTCCTCTGCCAGGTACACATGCAGTTGAAAGCAAAGTTTTGCTACTTAGCTAGTCACTCAAAGCATACCTCTGATGAGGACACTTTTGAGATAGCCACTACTTCTGAACTCAGCCATTTTCAAATAGTATTCCTTAACCAGTAATGGGCCACACTTTCCAAATCACTGTGGTGGTTAACTGTGTGTTAGTGCGGCTGGACCAGGATGCCCAGATATGCCATCAAACATTACTCTGGACATCTCTGTGAGGGTGTGTTTGGATGAGGTAAGCATTTACATGGTGGATTTTAAGTAAAGAAGATTGCCCTTCATAATGTTGGTAGGCCTCATCCAATCAGTTGAAGGCCTGGATAGAATAAAAGACAGACCTCCAAGCACAAAGGAATTCTGCCACTGGATGCCCTTTGGACTTGATCTGAAATATTGGCTATTCCTGGGTCTTCAACTTACCAGCCTACCTTGCAGATTTTAAACTTGGTAACCTCCATAAACACATAAGCCAATTCCTTAAAATGAATCTCTTTCTATGTATACTCATATCTTGTTGGTTCTGTTTTCTCTGGAGAAACCTAACTAACATAGTCACTTAGAGATTTATCCCCAGAAGCTGTCTAATAAACCTCCCAGCAGATACCAAAGATAATTCAATTTCAGTTTGAATAATGCGTAAAGGTCAGCTGCAGCAGACAGTGGTGCAATGACACATGCACATTTCAAATAGCCAACAAGCTTTAGTGAGACTTTAAAACATCACCTCTATTTTCATGTGAAGGATAAATATATGTGCTGATTTTCTCTAGGGCCATCACGTTGCTGCACCCAAGGAGCAAACTTCCTCAACATCTGTCCACTCCACATTTGTCATCCATCTCCATATCCCCAGCAGAATGCGTGGCATGGAGCAGCTAATCAATTAAGGGACAGAATTGAATCTGTGGGGCAGGGAATGCTGATGTGAGTGATCTCCAGCTTACTCTTCTGATATTCACCAATCACATTCCCAGAAACCAGGCCACTGTGGCAGAAAAAAAAAAAAAAATTAACTTTTATTGAGCAATCATTGTATGTCAGACCTTTTTGTTAATAAAATGTACCAGTTCACTTTTTCCTCAAAATAGCTTCATGAGGTAAGAATTTATTTGTATCACTTCCATTTTACAGATAAGGACATGGAGATACAGAATGTTAACTAATTTGCCTGAGGTCTTACATACACATTTAGTCACACATCCAGTGAGATGCAGAGCTGGGCTTTGAACTTCAATAATAGATCTAGCAGATTGGCACTATCCAGAAATTTTTAATCTACTCTCTACCCTCACAGCATTGGAGACTGCTGTGGAAAATAAGTTTCATTAGAGGAACTTGAATTCAACATTTAATGCAGAATTGGCTAATCCTTTGTTGTGGAAGACTGTCCTGTGCTTTGTCAAATGCCTAGAGGAATCTCTGGACTCCACTCTCTCACTACTCACCCCTCTGCCCAAGTTGTAACAATCAAAATTGCCTCCCGATATTGTCAAATGTCCTCTTTTGGGCAAGGGGTGGGGATCGTCCCAGTTGACAATCACTGGCTTAATGTACTAAAACTCATCATCCCATAGTGTAGCATTTTTCTCTAAACCCAGGATGATTATGGTATCATTTCTCATAGTTAGTTACAGAAGTTCCTCAAACACTTTATTCAGCATTTCCCTGGTGACCATGTATACAGCTTCCCCGAAGGGTGATATTTTTCTAAAAGCTAATAGAGGCTGAGAGGGGAAATGAGATAGCAAAATGGCAAAACGGGACACAAGATGAATTACCATTCTGCATAATGACCCTCTTTTTAGGTTCAGGCCATGCTGTCTAGCAGTCTTGTATCTCCCTAGATTTAAAATACCAGCTGACTAAAGACCCCTGCCTCCTGGTGATGGCAGAACTTCTGCCATGATTCCCAGAAAACCTTTGAGGCTGATGAGAAAAGGATGGAAGACACCCTGTCTGACAGTGTATTTTTGCATGTTCTGTTCCCTGTGCCTGGAATGTTCCACCTTACCTCACCTTCATCACTTTCGGTCATAACTCCCAGGTCTATTTCCTTGGTAAAATACTACCATTGGAAATCATTATATTTGTTATTGTCTTAACTGCTGAATATCTTTCTTTATCCACAACTAGAATGTAAGCTTCAGGGAGCAGGGACCGATAACTCTATCACTAATTCCTAAAAACCATGACTGGTGCATAACAGGTGTTCCATACATAGATTTGAACTAACTAACTAACTCTAAAAGCTACCTTGTGCTATTTCAGATTTTTTACATTTCTCTTTCTGAACCACAAATAGCTGATGAAATGATCTTTATTGGGAAGTGAGACCCATGAGTCAAAAGGAAGAGTCTTAAAAGTTGAGTTGCTGAATGTCATATTACTGTCCGACTGGAGGGAGTGGTTTAAGCATCCTAGTGACTTCAGAGAAGACTTGCAGACAATTCCTTGCCAGTCTGTCACAGTTTTCAGATCCCAGTGTGGAGCATGAGTCCCTATGTGATTCAGCCACTATTTGCTCCTGCGGTGCGTGTGCCCCACCCTTGTTAGTCTTCACATGTGAAGAGTCTTAGGACTTGGCCCAACCGACTCTGTGCTCAACAATTTATTGCTTCGTCCTCTCTTCTTTCTCATATGTGAATTCTCCTGGGGAACAGAAGATTTTGTGTGGGGTAAAGAGAAACACATATGTAATAGAAAAACAAAACTGTGAAAAGAAAAAAATGTTTTTAATGAAACTATGAAATGACTATAGGTTGATTCATCAGAGGAAACACATGGAAACTATTACCCACAAATTCAACAGTTATGAAACCTGAAACCTTCTTCTATATTTTGTTCAGAATTACATGTTTGGTATTCAAGAATTCATGTTAATTGTCTGCTCAAATACCAAAGAAAACATCTAATTGGTTGGTTAAGAGATATAAATAGATCTGGGTTTTTTTTTCCCCCTAAATTAATATTAGAAAAACAAGAGGAAAAAAAAAAAAAAACACAGAAAAGGAGCCTTGGGTTGATGTCTCTGCAGCTGGGAAAATTCTAAATCAAACTTGTTTTGTATCCAAGGGCTGGAACGAGGTTAACAGGAAAGTAATAGCAAAGAACAGTTTGCTATTTTGACCCTGGCCTTCTCAGCCTATTCTAGGTATGGCTACCACAATGTGCAAGTTTCACATCAGGCAGTCAGACACTGAATGTTACTTCATAGTTTTCTTTCCAGTGATTTCTAGTATACTATTTCTTTTCTGGTATAATGACCCTAATGATATAATATGGATGGAGTTGATCTGGTTAACCAGTGATTCTATAAACTCTCTCCAGAAGTCATAGAGTAACCATAATCAAAATCTTTCATAGCAGTAATATATCAACAGAGGAAAAAAAAAAAAAAAACAACACAAGTCTCTTTGAAACTTCCATGCAAGAAGGGTAAAAGAATACATAGGTTATACAGTTTCCTGGTCAGGCAACTAACTAATATACTTACTGCGTTCAGTCTCACTCTGCCTCTCTGTCTCCTTGGCCTCAATATGTCTCTCTCTGTGTCTCTGTCTCTCTCCCAGGTCTTTGGATACCTTTGCCATCACGAGCTCTCTCACACAGGCCTTGGGTTCTCTGCTTCAGTTATTCCACCTGGATGTAAAAGGACAAGCCATGTACCAACTGTCAGTTCATGTTTGTAAAGTAAACTAGGCTATCTGAGAACATTAAAAAAGCTATATACTTAGAATAAGATATATTTGGTAGCTCTGCTATATCAAATATTTTCAATTGTACACTTTAAGTTTAAAGATTTCTAGTCAACCAAAAGCCAAAGGTCTTGCTAGTTAAGTAAAAGTAAGAAAGGAAATTATTAAATTTTGGTCCAATAAATATAATGGCACAGGAATGTAGCTTATGGATGAGTTTCAGAGGACTGACTAGATGAAAAGATCCAGAAACAAATTTGCTCAGAGAAGAAAATGGAGAGAACTTGGGGTGGTAAACATACAATACAGTATACAGATTATGCATTACAGAATTGTGCACCTGAAGCCTATATAATTTTATTAACTGATTGTACCCCCAATATATTTAATTAAAAAATAAATAAGTAAGTAAAAAGAAAATGGAAAGGAGAATGTACAAGTGATGGGTAGAAATGAACATTAAGATACTCTTCTCCACACATATTTGAAGAAAACTCTATGTGTAATGTGTATATTTGTATGGCGATAAAAAGCACCCTGATTAAAGGTGCCTGCCCCTCTCATGGACTGGTGGCTCCCAGAGCATCTGGAATAGAGCACGGCTTATTAAGGGCATCAGTGCATCTCCAGTGACAGCGCTGAGTGACAGTATCTCTGATCCATGACAGAGTGGTCATGAACTCAAGAGCATGTGGCTGTCTTCACATTCATTCAGCAAGTTATTGAGAGCCTGCTAAGTTATAAGCACTGTTTTAATTTCTTGAGACATAGCAAAGAACAAAAGCCAAGAAAGAAGAAAAATTTGCCTTCATGAAGCATATGTTCTAGTGGATGATAAAAAAAAGGTAATGAATATATAAAACATACAGTAAGTTAGATTAGATAGATGACATGGAGAAAAATGGATGCCATGGAAGGAAGTAAAGAAGGTTGGAATCATGGTAAAATTTTAAATAAGGGGTTAGGAAAGACTTCAGTGGTAAGGTGATACCTCAGTCCACCTAAACAGTTAAGGAGTGAACCAAGTGAGTATCTGGGGAAAGAGGTTAATAAGCACAACTGGCTTATTTCTGAACCAATCACTACTTTAAATTTAGGAGCTCTGATTTTGTTGACTAATTACATGCATTCCTGTTCTCTTCACTTGGCTATCTTCTACTAATCCCTCAGGTCTCAGCTTAATATTGATTTTCTTGGGGAAGGATTCCTTGTTTATTTCTGGTCCAGGTTAGGAACCCTTTTGTAGTCCCACAACCTACTACTTGCCCTCAGAATAGTGATCAGACTTCATAGTGTGTATAACTTGTTGTTTCTTTTCCATGTTATTCTGAAAGGACTGAAAAGACCTCTTCTCCCACTCAATATTATAGCCCCAATATCCAGCACAATGCTGAGAAGACAGCATTGTGTTGGGAATCATACCACTTGGGTTGATATCCTGGCTCTAGCACTTACTGAATGTTCCTTTCAACAAGTTTCTTAATCTTTCTGTGCTTCAGTTTCCTCATTTTTAAAATGGAAGAATATATTTAGCAAGTGCCTAACACAAAATTGATATTTGATCAATGAATCTAACAATAATTATATCCTCCAGAAACACTTTAAATCCGCAGGGAGAACTCCCTTTCAAGATTGCACATTGAAGACAGTGTGTCCCAATGAAATGGGTATAAATTTTAGGCTCAGATAAATCTGAATCCATTGGAATACTGAGTTCATTATTCTGTAATTACATAAACAGGGATAAAAATCTTTCTCTCAAAAGTTTGTTGAGGATTAAGAGACAACATACACAAGATGCTCTTTTTGCCATCACCATTACTCACACATATCTATTACCATCTTTTATTTGCATTTTATTGTGTGATGTTTTAGAAACATCTCTTTTATAGTCATTTAACCTTCCCTTAAAGTCCGAATTCTGTCATCCCCACTACATTGTAAGTTCTTTGGGGTAAGACTCTTCACTTTATTTCTTAGGCATTCTCATGATGCCTCGCAGAGAACTATTCTCAGAGTAGACATTCAATATAAATTGAATGAATAATAAATGGGCAGGGGGAGAGGGAGAGAGATCTTGTTAAGTCAAGGGTTATGAAGAATAGAGACCTAGTAATGGTTCATGAAAATCAATGTAAATGACTCATATAAATGAACTGACTGAAATACATTTAGGGCCTCTTAAGGGGTGGGGAAAAAAAAAGCCATTTCCATCCATAGGATAGATATTTATCTGTTTGGAATCCTATAGATACAGTCCTGCCTGAAGAAAAAGATGACCTGTCAAACCCTTTGTTGGCTTATTATTCTCTCTCTCTCTGTTGTATTTTAATCAATTTATCAATAAATTTAGACAGAAAGAGGACCATAATATTGCATGAATGAGATGCATATTTTCCCACATGGTACAAATGGTAAAAATGTAATATTACAAAAGATAACACAATTACTGTTCAAGGTATTACTAAGAAAAGCTAGCTATATTTTTATTAGATAAAATACTCTCACTGCAGATAAACCAATCTGCTATTTTAATACTAAACAGAACAACTTTGAATTATGCAAAAAGTAATGGCAGTTTCTGGTGACTATAAAATGCATTACTAAAATCTTATTACTAAAAAATTTATTACTTATTACCAAAGTATTACTAGATGCTATGATACATTATTTATAGGTTAATATTAGTAACCTGAGTGCTGAGAGATAAGAAATTTAAACCATATAAGGGAAAATGGCTCAGCACATGGTGAAAGATGTTTATTTCACAAAATGTCCCCATTAAATTTGAAGTAATGAACTAAGAAACTTATAAATCCCCTAACAAAAGCACAAACAAAAGGACCCTACGGACCCACCCAGTAAAATACAGCAGTATTTGGGTCAAGAGGCCAGCATAGATAACCTGCCTTGCCTCCTCACACAACCACATCAAAATTACAACTAAATTATAGAACAACCATCACACCAAACCATCAGAAATCAAGCTGAATGGAAGTCTGACAGCTAAGGAATTAGAGAAACCACATCCATCCAGCCTGGTAGGAGGGACATAGGCACAGAACAGGCTGGTCCCACATTCACTTGTGGTGGATAAAAAATCAGGAGGGATATCCCATGAGTGACAAGTCCCAGTACAACACCAGGACTCCCAGCTCAGGGTTCCAGTGCCAGCAAGATAAATCTCCATAATGCCTGGTTGCAAAAGCCAGTAGGAGTTGAGTCAGTGGAAGAAATTTCTGGAGTCCCAACCAGTTGCCCTTAAAGAACCCATACATGGCTTACTCAGACTTACTTCCCCTTAATTCCAGCACCAGAGTAACAGCTTGAAAGGCACCAGTAGCATACAGGGAAGAACTGAAGTGTCTCGCACCAAGGCAAGACCTGGGTGACAGCTTTCTTCCAGACAGAAAGGAACAGAGGACATTGTCCCTTTCCTGAGCCCTCCTCCAACAAGGCACAGAGATGGCAGGCAGGTGCCATACCTGAGACTCCATCAACCTGGTTAACACTGTTTACCTCACCCTGGAGATCCCCTGAGGCTTCACCCCACCCAACTTACAGCTGTTAACAGTGGCTTTTCCATATGAATGGCTGGTCTTGGCTCATGCTTCACAACTTCCTAAATCCTTTCCAACAAGCAGCAGCTTGTCTTAGTGAGCCCTCAGCTCCTGTACCTCTTGCTAAGTGGCCCCAGGCATGGCACTAGCAGTAGCCAGCCTAGATGCACAACGTGGCTTTGCCTGGAAATCTCCAAGTCCAGCACAAGTAACAGCCATCTCAGATTGCTTTAAAGCTCAGGTAGGGTGGTTTGGGAAAAACAGGTGAGAGCTGACCTTGGCCTAAGTCACCAGGGAAATTCCAGGGCCAGTGCACCCAGTGAACAGCTACAGACCACATCAGAGCACCACTACCCTACCGTTACACAACTGATCCTCCATGGAGGGCAAAGGTTGGTGGTCAGTGTCACAGCCAATCCTTGCAGCTGACTGGCCTGGGTAATTCTCTCCCATTGACCTGACAACAGCAATCAGGGCTCAACTACAACAGGAGGGTGTACTCAGCCCACACAAAGGGCACACATGAAGTACCTAGCTTGGGTGATAGGGAAGGCTGTGCCACTGGGCCCTACAAGTCACCTATTACCTTACACCATGCTAACAAGAAGGGGTGTCATAGCAACTCCATACATAGAAACAAAAACAGGAAGGCTGCCAAAATGAGGAGACAAAGAAACATGGCCCAAATGAAAGAAAGTATCAAAACTCCAGGAAATGAACTAAACAAAATGGAGATAAGAGATCTATCAGATGCAGAGTTCAAAACACTGGTTATAAGGATGCTCAAGGAACATAGTGAGGACCTCAGCAGCATAAAAGAGATCCAGTCAGAAATGAAGGATACACTAATTAAAATAAAAAACAATTTACAGGGAAACAACAGTATAGTGGATGAAGCTGAGAATCAAATCAATGATTTGGAACATAAGGAAGAGAAAAACAACTGAGCAGGACAAGAAGAAAAAGAAAGAATCCAAAAATATGAGGACAGTATAAGCAGCCTCTGAGACAACTTCAAGAGATCCAATATCCATATCATAGGGGTGCCAGAAAGAGACGGGAAAGAGCAAGAAATTGGAAATCTATTCGAGAAAATAATTAGAGAAAACTTCCCTAATTTAGTAAAGGAAATAAACATGCTAGTCCAGGAAGCACAGAGGGTCCAAAACAAGATGGAGGCAAAGAGGCCCACTCCAAGACACATCATAATTAAATATCAAAGGTTAAAAATAAAGAGAGACTCTTAAAAGCCACAAGAGAAAAGCAGTTAGTTACCTACAGGAGAGTTCCTATAAGACTGTCAGCTGATTTCTCAAAAGAAACTTTGCAGGCTGGAAGAGAGTGGCAAGAAATATTCAGCAATAAAAAGCAGGAACTGACAGCC